CGACAATCTAGATCTGGAAATTTTTTCCACTAAAATGTTGACGTTCAAAAAAGGTTGTATAGAACTGGCCGATACTTAATGAAAATCCATATTAAAAACTAATTAATACAGTTTATTGTATGACTTTCACTACAAAGGATTTTACAAAAAACTCGACACGTGTTTCGCTATACAATAGCTTTCTCAAGTATAAACTAAAAGTTTACGAGTAGGTAATAGGTTAGAGTATAAAATGGTTGTAATTTAGGAGTAACTTTTAGATTATGCTTGAAAAAGATATTAACACGTGTCGCGGTTTTTGTCAAATGCTTTATAGTGAAAATAATATAATAAACTGTATTAATTGTACATCTGTTCATCATTTTGTGCTACTCTGTTACTGGACAGGCGATGCTGTCTAGTTGGTAACCTATATGTATACAATGAAAAATAAAAATATTTGCATCAGTTTTCTTTTGATTTACTGTTTTTAAATTGGCAATCGAATATGCAGAGTGTCCTACCTTCGGTACCGATGTTATCATTGGTATTTTAATATAAAACACCTCATTTGTTTTTTATTATTTCCAGGGTTATTTTGTTGAGCGTCTCAGAAGAAGTGTAACAATTTGCATTCAGTACAGGATGCAATGTGAAAGATGTTTTGAAATCGAACTAAATGACCTTATTCAATGCATCTTCATCAGAAAATTATACGTGACCGTAGTTATCACAGAAATATACATACAAAATAAACGTAATGAAAATTATCGAATGAAATTTCGTCATCAGACATCTACTGGATACCAGCCGAATTAAAGGACCTTATTCAATGCAGGTAGTTAGACTTTGTCGATGATAGTTCTCTCTTCTTCTTTTTTTTTTTGGTCCCTTGGGAGCTGTCTGACTTGTCCATTTAGTCCAAGTCTCCAGAAAACACTGCAGCCTCTTGGGCTTATTGCATTCATTCTCCAATCACCCATTCCATCAGTCTCGTACCCTGTACTGTACTGTTACGTCCATCCGATGTTCGTCGGATGGACGTAATTTTGTACTAACATCTATTGCCTGCCTTCTGTGATTCAGTGCCTTACATTCGCTTAAGATGTGTAGAGCTGTTTCTATCCCTTCGTTGCATAATCTGCAGCTGAGATCTCCGTTGTACAGCCCCATTTCATTCAGGTGTTCTCTAAGCGGATAATGACCAGTTAGTAACCCTGTAATTATTCTGAGCTGATACCCACTATATTGAAGTTGTTCTTCGGTTCTTTTCTCGGACGGTTCCCTAATGAAGGTTCTACTGTGTTTGTTCCCAGGTACTTTTGTCCAGTAATATGTGTGCTTCTTATTGGTCCATGCCATAATCTGGTTTCATACCAATGATTTTGATACCCCCAGAGCTGGTTCAGGACCTATATATGAAGTTGATGATCCGTGTCTAGCGCATTCATCAGCTTTAGCATTCCTGGATGCCCTGGCATCCTGTACAAAGTTGATTTGTTCCTGTTTGCAAGTTCATTCAGCTCTTCATGACGTTCCCAGTCCAGTTTTGATTTCACCTTCGGGTTTGTCAGAGCCCCTAGTGCGCTATTGCTGCTTGTCAAAATATTGATCCGCTCATTTCTTCGAGGTCTCAATTTGATAAGCCTTGCACACTGCAAGATAGTATACACTTCCGCCTGAAAGATGGATGTCCTACCGGATAACTGTAGTTTAAATTTCTACCGGCTCCCGTTCCATGCTTCCTCTTCGATCCATCTGTATAACAGGTGTTTTTTCCAAATATGTTTTCGGGATGACTAATGGTTGTCCACTCTTCACGACTTATGATTTTTGGCTGTGAAGTTTGCGTTAAAGGTGTACTTCAGTGTCATGTGGTCCGTGCACATATTCAATATGTGCACCTCCACATGTTCCGAAATTTCTGTTCGGTGCGATCTTTTGTAGTTCGGTGGGTTTTCCAGTCTGAATTGGCCCATCCTGGCCTCCCCCATTATCACATCACAAAGGGTAAAGGAGGTAGATTCAGGAGTGTCTCCAATGCAGCTGTTGGTGTAGTTCTCATTGCTCCCGTCATTCCCAAACATGCAAGTCTTTGCACCTTGCCTAGTTTGTTGATAGCGGTCGCCTGCTTCATCTTTGGCCACCAGACCAGAGATGCGTATGTTATAATGGGTTTAACCACCATCGTGTATAGCCAATATACTATGTCTGGTTTTAGCCCCCATGTTTTTCCATGGGTGCATCTGGCAATCAGTGCTACCTCCGCTTTTCTTTTTATCCTGTCCAAGTGTTGGTTCCAGGTCAGTTTGGAATCTAGAATTACTCCCAAATATTCAACCTCCCCTGACACTTGTATTTCTTCACCTCGAAGTGTTAGAGGTCCGAGACCCTCCGTTTCAGTCCTCTTGGTGAATGATACTATGGTCGATTTGGATGGGCTTATGTTAAGGCTTTCTTCTTCGGTCCATCTTGTTATAATATTCATGGCTTGCTGCATTCATCCCTTCACTACATTATTGTATCTACCCTGGACTAAGATGACTGAGTCGTCTGTCTGCATAGTCCAGTGCTTTATACCCATTATGATCCAGGAGACATTGAAGCTCGTCCCTTACAAGGTTCCATAACAGAGGGGTCCTCACCTCTTTCGTTGGTGTTGGTGCTTCCCCAGGTTAGGTGGTGAGTTGTAGTCCCTCTGCTTGGTAGGTCCTTCCACTTCCCTGATTGGTGGTGGTTCCCGACGGTCGTAAGGGAGGTATGCTCACCAATGATGATTTCCTCAGGTTCTCCCCCGCCAGCCGTCTTTATTTTGACTGCCGTCATGTATCTGGAACACAAATTACTCAACGACAGTATATTTATTCCTTCACGGATAATTATGCATGTTCTTGGGGTCTCTCAGCTTCTGTTATAAATTAACTCCCCTCGGATGCCCCCCAATCCCATTATTTTCCCCCTGTACACCCAGAGTTTCTGTATGAGAACAATATCAAACCCCCCTATCAATTTGGTAAGGACAGCCGAGGCCCCCTTACTGTGTTGCAGGTTTTTTTGTATTATTCTCAACATTGCTGTTAAGACCCTCCAGGACCTTGAAGGTGACCATGCCCAGCTTTGAACATGTTTCCTGATGGAACTTTAATTCGTGAAGAAGGCCAGGATTTGTCCTTCCTCTTCCACTTTTCCACTCCCAGGGCAGGATTCTGCTTACTGAGGCGTATCCTAACTGTAGCCTCCTCGTCTTTTTGGCCCGGAATGAAGACTAGGACTCTCGGTCTCTTCGGGAGTTCGTTGGCCTCGACCACGGTCAAGTCCACCCCCTCCCAAAGATTGCCCAAGTTTTCAATGCTTCCTCTGAGCCATTCTTTTGTCTCTTCATTCGCACAGGTTATCCATAGACCCTTGCGCCAAATGAGGTCTTTTTGAATTGTAGATTTTCAAGGCTACCAGAGGGAGTATTGTCCAATTCGCGGACAAGTCCCTCCTGAATCAGGTCTGCATGGCCTTGACTCAGGGTGACCTCCGGGTGTCGCCATGTCAGTGACCGCCACCCTCAGGTCCCTAGCAGCCTCACTATAAGTCCCATTTTTTTTTGAAGCCCTGGGTTTTTTCAGTAACTTCTGTGGGGGAGTTTTTACATCCTCTCTATGTCTTTTTTTGGCCCTTTCCATAGAAGGTACTTGAGTTTTTTCTAGTTTGCTGCGGTCCTTTGTATTACATGGATTTTCAATCCACGTTCCTGCAGCTATTTTCTTGGCTTTCATCAGTTTGCGCCTTTGCGCCCCTGATAGCCTTTTCTTCTGCAGCGGGACTGGTGTCTCTCGCTGTTTGACTATGACTTTCCTGGTCAGTTTGCACCTCCAGGATAGTCTTATTTTGCGAGGAGTCACTCGAAGAGTCCTCCTCTGATGTTTCAATAATCCATTGGTCCATTCAAGTCCCACGAGTATAGGGGAAAGGGTTGTCCACATCCATGGTGCCCCCTGTATGGATGTAAGGCTGAATACTTTGGGAGGTTGCTTGGTATCCCAAAGGTTCCGTTAGTGATACCTGATGAGGCTCAGGTACCATTCATCCTTTGGCACAAGTCGCATAACACCTTGGATTAGGCCTGGGTCCTTCTGAGTCTGACTGCTCTGTTACGGCCTTTTCAGCATGAGAGACCCTACCACCAGCTGAGCTGTCGCCGACATAGCCCGTAACTTCATCACAGTACGCAAGCCCTCCCACCACGACAAGGTGAAGACCCCTCGGGAGAGTCCCCTCTTTTTCTTAATTGAAATTGTTTCTATGTTTCTGAATTCTGATTGCGTTTCTATATATTCTTGGAGAGTAACTCTATCAAGCACTTGAGTCGAACGCGATCACTTCTCAAACTTCTCTTAATGGTTCTGACGTCGACCAATTCACAGCTATGAGGGATTCGATACAGTAAATTCAGAAAACATGTTTCAATAGGGATGAAATCAACTTCAGCCCAAAATATGCCAGTGCACATTTCAACTCAAAATAAAAACCACACAGGACATATAGCAATGTTCCACGTGTGACGTAAGTAGGCTTCTGCCTTAGGTAAAAAACGGTTTTGTTTTGTACAAGTGGGGTTTTTCATTTCCAGAGAATTACTTTTTAGAAAACAAGAATTTCATAAAAAAGATAATCATAACTGAGCGGAGATTTATGTCTTATGAAATATGGTCCTTATTTTTTTTCAAGTTATCCATGCACCGTTCTCAGAAACAATTTGAAAGTTAAGTGATAGTATGAGTAATCATATGAATCAATTAGATACTCGAATATTTTCAACAGAGACCTTTCACTAAGTATAGTAACAATTGACATACTTTTTTTTATATTATCCGGGCTCATGTTGCATACCATTATATGAAATCCAAGACATAATATTCTCAAATAGACTAATACAAATTCTCAATTTACAATAACTTCGCGTATCGTCGGCATGAAATTTTATTGGTATGAAAATTTTAAATTTAGATTATTCACTTTCGTCCGGATAACAGTTAATGAAAGGGTATATTTAGAATTTTGCTATTCAGTATTTGACTATTGAAAGCAGTGGATACGTATACCAATCCGTCATGAAGTTAATAGTGTTTTTTATTTTACTAGTTCTGGTGAGTATGAATGGTTATCATGACATTGTAGTGTTCTAACATTTCCGAATGAAACTTGAAGCAGAATGACCTAAGAAAGTAACTTGATTTCCTATAAATTCATTTCACCTCTTTACCCCGGACTAGGGATCTTCCTAATCACAGATTCCAAGTTTTTGACAATCTTTATTATCATCATCAGGAATGCTACAAAATGGAGAAAGAAACAATTAGATAGAGATTAGTGAAAACAACTTACAGTGTATGTGAATGATTAAATGAATAATTGAACACAATTTGGATACAATAAAATAACCTCAAGAAGTTAACGAAAACAAACAATATTTTACATCATAAAATGGTACGTAATTTTTAAAAAACACCTGTTGTTCCTTGAAAAGGAAAAACGCCGACCATGCGTAAATATCAAAATTAAGGTTGATAATTGACAGTTGATTAATTCGTACATGTGTAATATCAGCCAATGGCAAAGCTCTCAAGTTTACTTCCTTACTGATATCATACCTAAAGCATACGATTTTAATAATAAATATCACATTAAATGTTCCTTTAGAGTGAACAGTATCTTCAATGATAAGACAGTTCCAAATAATTTTGTATTAGCTAGTTCAGATGTTGTTTTTCTGTTTATTCAGAAACTTGCTTGAGAATAATTGAGAAAAAATGAGATGCCATCAGTGGTTTTTTCAGTTTGACTAAATACACTTTTCAAAATTCAATCACCTTTTTATTTATCAACACGTATTCCAAATATAATAATGAATATCACAAACAAACTTTTGGCACTCCTATGGAATCAAAAATAAGCCCGATTTTGGCGGCATATGTCATGGATGTCTTACTAGACATTGTCACAGATGTACTCCCTTATATTTTTTTTGAGAACAAAGCACAAGCACTACAGGAAATTCCCTATAGCGCTCTAATAGCGGTGCCTGTGAGAAAGTAGCGATTCACATTGGATTTGAATCGCTGGAGATTGAATCCATTTGGAAAAACGCTCTCAGAAAGTTCATTCCACATAAACGCAGTTCTCTAAATGAAAAGTTCTCTAACAGTGAAGTTCGAGGTTTACTGAGTTGAATCTCAAAGCGATGAGCAGACACATTCCGTCGCGTATTTTTTATATGTACCGCTCTTGGTGGAATCAAATGTGTCAAGTCACTTGAACACTTTCCGTGAAAGTATCTATAGAGGAGAGACAAATCTCCAACCTTTCTTCGATGTTTCAGACTATCAAGGTTTCAAGTGATGCTCGCGTCTCCAATCAGGCGTCTCCAATCAGTGGCGGAGCTGCATAGATGAAAACAATACTCCAAAGAAAGTCTGATCTGAGCTTTATGAAACATCAAAAGTTGCTGAGATGTGTAGAGTTTTCTGGTTCGGAACAGTGCCCTTTCGAAAAAGAGAATGAATACAATAGTGTTGGTCCGTTCCTAGACATTCTCTGAATCAACGTCATCCTTATAGAAAGCCTATTAGATCCGGCCGCTACATCAACTTATACGATCGATAACTGTTAAAAGTTGAAACTTGTGTCAGGTAAGGATTAACGAGGTGTTACCTATCATGAAAGCAGAATATTTGTTTCCCAAAAAAGCCCATTTTCAGCCCATAAACTAATGAATTGTGTCGAATCAATTTTCAAAAATATAAAATTTCAAATGTATTTACGCAACATAATGAGATATATTAGTTTCTCTGTAACTAGAAATACTGTTGAATTCATATCTATTTGATACTATAGAAAATGAAAATATCTAAAAATTAAAATGAAAATCTTGGTTATCGCAAATTATGAATTATTCAATATTACCAAAATTGGTATCTATGAGGATATCGAAGAAGGAACATCTAAAGAAAAATGAAACTTATTTTTGTCGCCTGTTATCATTAATGAAATAGGCTCCAAAAAGGTACAATTATGAAGGTTAATAATTTCCCCATAAATTGTTATCTGGTAAATAAACTAGAGAATTTACTTCTTTATGCAAGTCAATGAATAAATTACATAATAACACGTGTAATTACCATAAATTGAAAATTTCAAGGTTAAACTTGGCTACGTGATTTTTTCAAAAAAGACAATATTATATAAATTATAACTGTTTTCTCAGTTAAACCTGTCCTAAATGTCATATAAATTCAGGACCGTNCGTTACTTGATTTCATAAACTACACCTTAGAATTTGATCTCCACAAACTTAATCTGAAAAATATATCTCGACATGTTTCGCTAACACAGTAGCTTCTTCAACAGTGATTTGAATACTACAAGTTGCTTCTTAGGCTATTATTTATATACCACTGGTATCTATAATTGGGACTACCTCCATCAAATTAGATGAACCTTTACAATTTTTATATACCTGGGGTACATCTTCAATTATGATTACCTGAAGCATATCACCTCACTTCTATATCAATAATTATACTTCCTCGGTTTTTTAACAAAACACATGTTCGCAATAATGGTGATCTATTCAAATCTAGTTTGTCATTCATTAGAATGTTTGAATTTTTAAGTTTATTAATTTCCATTGCTTCCTAATAATTCAGTTTCAAACGTTCATTTTCTATGTGTAAAATTTCGAACTCTTCATTAAAGATATGGGTTTCTTCTAACAGATGATTTCAATATGTTGAACTTGTTTTTTTTTTATATAGCTCATATGATGTTCCTGGATTCGATTCCTAAATATTCTGCCAGTTTGACCAATATATACTTTAGGACACGTTCCGCACTTTCAATTATATACTCCTGATTTCTCGAATTTGGATGTTTTGTTTTTATTATTTTCACTTTTGATACAGGTAGTCCCAATTATAGTTACCTGTGGTATATGAATTTAAGAATAAGAAACAACTTGTAGTATTCAAATCACTGTTGAAGAAGCTACTGTGTTAGCGAAACATGTCGTGATATATTTCTCAAATGAAGTTTGTGGAGATCAAATCGTAAGGTGTAGTTTATGAAATTAGATGTGCAATAAGAAACGATTTTTAAATATTCCAACTGGGGCCCCCCTGTGTGGATAAAAGGGGCGCGTTTACATAATAAAATTACCTTTTCATCAATGTTTCTCCGTACCGCTATACTTTCGGAGGCTGAAGTTTTGTTTGTATGTTCTTTTTATGTTGTAGATGTGGAATAAGAAAGGATTTTATAAAATTCCAGGTGGATCCCCCTGTGGGGATAAAAGGGGCGCATTTACATAAGAAAATTACCTTTTCATCACTTTGTCTCCGTACCGCTGTATTTTCGGAGGCTGAAATTTTGTTTGTAGGTTCGTTTTATGTTGTAAATATGCAATAAGGGAGATTTTTTAAATATTCCAACTGGGGAGCCAGCCGTGTGGCAATAAAGCGCGTTCATAAAATAAAGTCACTATTTCTTCATGCCCTTAAATTTCCGGTGGGTGTATTTGTATTTAGTATCAGCATTGGACCCGTGCGGAGCCGGGACGGATCGCTAGTAGACATACATATGGACATCCATCTAAAGTTATATGCTCCAATAAACCATATAACTTCAAATGGTGGTGTTACAAAAATCCAAACTATTAAAATCTTTTTAGATCTATTAGTTCTCGCAAATTGGGAATTACCAAATCAGTTTAAAATTCCGAAAATTTCAGATATTTCTAGTTGAAACAAGGTTTAATTTGCTCAAAATTATTTTTCAGATTCCGACATAAGGCACGATTTCAATCTTGCATACAATATGTCCGCAACAAAAATTGAATATACCAAAACAATATGACCCTATCATTGAATCAAGTTTATTAGTCCCAAACAAGTACTTTTTCCAATCACCAGAAATGCAATACTCTTCACGACGCGCATTTCACCAACCCAGTTAGCTCCTTTCGGAGATGAGTTTTCTTCGTCTCTTAAAGACTTCAATACGCTTGTTTGAAGGTGGTTGACAATGCTTCGTGGTGTATTTCATCAGTTCGGACTTCCATTGTCTAATATAATATAAATTGATTTGAAATCCCTGAAAAAAAAAATACCGAAAATAACAATTTTATTAAAAAAAAAACTGAAATTACAAGGAAATAACATACAAGCTACAACCAGAAAATAAAAAATTGAAATATTAATAAAAGCTGAAAATTAAAAAAAATTTCACTAACATGGAAAACTGTAATTCTCAATGGCGGACATATAAGCGCGTATGTATACTTATAAATGTGAAAGTCACTCACTTAACACTCACTCATTAACCTCTGGCGATAAAGAAGCGCGTTTACATAAGAAAATTACATTTTCATCACTGTTTCCTCGTACCGCTATATTTTCGGAGGCTTAACTTTTGTATGTAGGTTCATTTTATGTTGTAGATGTGCAATAATTTTCTGATTGATTCGGCCGTTACTTGATTTCATAAACTACACCTTAGAATTTGATCTCCACAAACTTAATCTGAGAAATATATCTCGACATGTGATTTTAATACTACAAGTTGCTTCTTAGGCTATACCACTATACCACTGGTATCTATAATTGGGACTACCTCCATCAAATTAGATGAACCTTTACAATTTTTATATACCTGGGGTACATCTTCAATTATGATCACCTGAAGCATCACCTCACTTCTATATCAATAATAATACTTCCTCGGTTTTTCAACAAAACACAAGTTCAATAATGGTGATCTATTCAAATCCAGTTTGTCATTCATTAGAATGTTTGAATTTTCAAGTTTATTAATTTCCATTGCTTCCCAATAATTCAGTTTCAAACGTTCATTTTCTATGTGTAAAATTTCGAACTCTTCATTAAAGATATGATTTTCTTCTAAAAG